ATGTATCTGGAAAGATGATAAATTCGATCATACCAGAAGTAGTTTCATCTTAAGGATCACTGCGATCTCTGATCCTAAAGAAAAATGTAATAAAAAGGATGTATGGTGAGGGATCAATTTCTGCCATAAACTTATCTCATTTCATCATTTTTTTACTCGACAAGAGTTAATCCAATCAATAGCCCCCCTCCCTTTCTTAGGGTACACCCAAGTCGCAACATATGTATTCTCTGGCGGCAATGAAGGGGTGTCACATGGCAGGGGGAGGGGGTTGGGTGCGTGGCAGTGGCAAGCGGCACGTTTAATGAATCTAATTAAAAGTCAACAATGGCAAACGAGATAATCGTCATAGAGAGGCCAGAGGCAGAGGCCAGAGGCAGCAGAGAGGAGGGTGCAGCCACAGATGGCAGGAGTACGGGGGTAGGGGGATTTGGGTGGGTTTAACGCTTGCCACAACGCATGCGCAACATGCAGACAAAACAGCTGATTAAAGAGTGAGAGGAAGAGAGATAGAGAGAGCGAGCTGAAGATTTTTATCGCTTGAGAAAGAAGAAAACGTTTTTGCATCTGCAAAAAGTTGCCAGGGAAATGGAAATAAACCAAACGCCGATAAACATCAGAGGAGAGAAGCAGCCAGAGAGGAGAAGGAGGAAGAGGACAGACATAAAGATAGATCAACGCTCTGCGATTAGGCCAGAGGAATGGAGGAAAAGCTGAACAAAAGCCCCCGAGAGCCAAAAAAGAGAATGAGATGATGGAGATGTGGAGATACAGATACAGATGGGGGATGTGGATGTGGATGTGGTGGATGGGGATGCAGCAGGTGGAAGTCCATCGAATGATAACAGATCCATTCCACTGTAGCCGTAACTCCACTTACCCCCCCTCCTACCCTGCTACCCTTCTCCGCTTCTACCCTTCTCCCCTTCGTTCTCTGTTTCGCTTCATGTGCATTTCTCAGATACAGATACACAGATACAATTAAACACAAAACGCTTATCACTAAGCAATAATCAGAATTCCATTAGCCGTAGACGCGATATCGCTCGAAAGCATCTCTCACAGCCAACAACACAGCACAACACACCCCTCGCAAGCGAATGTATCTTTGTATCTGTATCTGCAACTGTGTGCGCGCCAGTGTGTGTGTGTATCCGTTTGTTGCCGCTGCTGCTGCTGCTGCTGCTGCTGCTGGTTGGCTGAATGGCTCGCCTTCCCAACTCATTCGCTCGCTCGCTCGCTCGCTGCTGCTGCTGCTCGCGATGTTATCTAACTGCGCGCCGCACCGCGCTCTCCTTATCAGTGCTTTATCAGTTTTTGTTTCGAATAATTTCGAACCGACGACGAAGGAAGTCGACCACAGCAGAGGCACAGGCAGAGAGCCAGCAGAGCTGGGAGCAGCAGCGGCGGCAGCGGCAGCGGCAGCGGCAGCGGCAGCGGCTGTGTGTGTGGAAGATATCTTATTTCAGTTGGCAGCGAACCGAGGAGCCGGCAAAGCGACTGCGAGTGTTTCGGATGCAGATACGAATCCAAATCCAAAGAGAGACAGAGATAGAGATAGAACGAGACTCTTGAGGCAAGAACAACTGTGTGTGCGAGTGTGCGACTGAAGGCAGAGATAGGGCAGCAGATAGACGTTCTGGCAGACACTGGCAAATGAAAGATAAACCTCCTCAACGTCGTCCACATCCACAAGATACAATATAGTATATCCAGCAGAAGGCAGACAGCAGACAGAGCCAGGCCGCAGCCACATCCCGGCATCAACAAACATCAGCTGTGCCGTGCCTCGTCAGCGCCGCCGTCGCCGTCGCCTTCGCCGGTCGTCGGTCGTCGTTTTCGTCGTCATTCGATTCGGCCAACTCTCGGTATCTCTTGTATCTCTCACACAGATACTCTCGTACACACAGATACAGGCGCACACGAAAATTTCATTACTCACCGCCGGCCGCCCCAGCAGCGCCTGCCACTGCCACACTGCCACTGCCTGGTGCCGTGCCGTGCCCCGAGTTTCAGTTTGCCATAGAACGCGGACCGAGCAGCAAGCGGACACTCGACACTCAACACTCGACAAGCGACAAGCGAAAGATAGAGATATAATCACGTTCGTCATACTAGACAAAAATTTGAATAATACGAGTGTTTCATTGTGAGTCCGAATCGAGCCGAAGTGAGTGTGAATATCAAAGTGAATAGCAAGTGAATGAAATGCTAAGGGAACACCCAAGCCCCCAAAACCCCCCAGAAAACATGTGTGTGATCAAAAGTGAAGCCAAAAAGTAAAAGAAAACTAAACCTCGGATTAGCCGCTACCCTGGGAAATCCAACTGGAATAACAACAATGCTCAGCAGCAATACAAGAGGTGAGAAGTGGCTGTCAAACTGCCAGTTGAGTAAACATTCATAAATTGAATGAGGACTGGTGGTAGAATGAAAGACAAATCAACCACAAAGCTGGCTTTACGGAGAATATTCGTGTGTTAAATAGGAATGTAGGAATGCCAGAATGGATCTACTATATGGTAAACAAAGTTAAGCGGAAATTAAAGCAAGTTTACGAGTACACGGATGTAACCGGAATTCCAGAAGAAGAGAGCAGAAACAATGAAATGGAAGCCATTAAATTACCTTAAACAGGAACTAAACAGCACTTGGGATTGTGTTAAGTGATTCTAGAGCTTTCCGACAGATGTAGATACTTTTTTGATGTATTATATCCATGAGATGCATAGTTAGAAGCTAGAAATCGATTCAAGCTAGTTTAGTAGGGTAGATAAGAGATAGAATTCAAAGTTCCACGAATTTGTAGTTCCTCGGACTACAAATAAATTCAGTTCCAGAGGAAATTTCATTCTTGGAAAAAGGAGCAAAGTAGATCCATTGATTAAACGCGACGCGCGTTATGCAGCAGGGCACCTCGGTGCTGCCTGGGACTGCACTTGATCCACCCAAGATCATAGAACAAGATGATGAATCTATAAGTGAACAAAAGGGAGATTCAACCATGCGATGATAAAGATCAGACCTAAGCAAAGATGAATAATGTTAGCCAATCGAAAGATCAGAAAACACCCCACGTTCAGTCTTCAGTCTGAGGCCAAGCTTAGCCGCCTTTAACCTCTGATTAGCAGCGACTGCTCTTTGCTCGAAAAGGAATGACCCACTAAACGGGAACATAAAAGATGATTTCTTCCCAAGAAGCGCTCTGTAGGAAGCAAAAGTCAGGCCACCATCAACCTGTAAGCCCCGATGATGTGTGGGTGTACGAGAATGAAATGAAATGAAATCCCGCCAATTGCTGTCGAACACTTGGACTCCAGACGACTCCTCGACGCACACGTTGAAGGGAAAGGGAAAGGGTTGGGGATTGCCTTTGCCTTTGCCTTTGCCTCAGGTTGCTTTGCCTTGACTTGCCTTGACTTGGCTTTGCCCCACGCTGTATCTGTGGGGCTCTGGTTCCGAGGCTCGGGCGAGTGTCCGGCTCTGGGTCTGCGTCCAAGTCCATTCCAGCCAGCTTTCAGTTGCTTATCAGTCGACTATCTGCGCTGTGTGGCTTCACATTCATTCCATGGCCAGAGAGCTCTCGGTATAGCCATGTGTGTATCTGTATCTGTGTGTGTGTGTGTGTGCTTTGCTATCTGCAATCTGTGGCAAGCGAATGAGAAGAAGAGAAGAGGATGAAGAGGGAGAGGGAGCGAAAGGGGGAGACGGAGAAATAAAAACGAAGTAAAGGAATTCTGCGGATTGTTGTTATTATTGTTATTATAATTCCTTGAAGTGAATAATCAGCGAAATATAATCAAAAATGAGAGAAAAAACAGCACACAAAACGAAAGACGAAGACGAGTCCGCGGAGACGGGGAGGGGGACGCGGCCGGAGACAGAGAGGCGTTGAGAGTGTGGAGCGGTGTGTGGTGTGCGGTGTGCGGTGTGTTGGCTAGTGTACTGCGGTGTGTAGTGCTGTGTAATGGACTGGAGACGCGCTTGAACACCGGCAAACCGGGGACGGGACTACTGTGCGTAGCCGCAGCCCCCCACAAACACAAAACACACAAGCACAACACAGATACAAAGATACAAAGATACTAGCAAGAACAGAGAATGGGCGGGGCGGGGGGACAGCAGAGAGAGAGAGAGAAAAAACAAACAGTGTTTCACTCAAACAGCAATTATGATCGCTTATAGTACGGGTAATCGTAATCCCTTCCCACAGAGGGGATTATCTTTTAACCACTATCGAGGGCTGCGGATAGGGGAGAATGTATCTACAAAGAGTCTACGTCTGAAACTATAGGCTCTGAACAGGAAATCTATCTACAGATGGATCTCTATTGGAGAATGTTCTTTCTAAAATCAAATAAGCCTATATTTCAAAGGAACTATCATATATCGAAAAGATACTTTGCCTAAGAGTAAACTAACTTCAGTTAATCATCAGTTACTATTGCTTTTCATAGGAAATGTAGCTTTGCTAGATATTCCGAAACATTTTCCTCAAACTAGGGAAGATCCTCACATCAGTCTAAGAGATAGTATCTTCTATGAGTATCTGAACGTAGTTTTAATACATATTTACACATATTTTCGTAGGGGTATTTATCTTTAAACAGAACTACCATCCAGAAATATTTCTAAACTGTTAGGCTTAAGAGAAAACGATCTTTTTTAAGTATCATCTAGTATCTATTATTAGCAAACCCTTCCTTAACCTTTCGTCCTCATCAATGAGTAAATCCTCTAAATAGGGAAATATATCCCCTCTAAATATTGCCTTGAAATACAACTTCTCCGATATCTATCTCTTTTATTTGTATCTCTAAGATCTGCATCCCTTATTAGGTCTCTCTGAAATCCGTATTTCCATCTATTATCCTTATCTGTTCTCTATCCTTAAAGATATCGCAAGTTTTTATCTCTTAGATTTGTATCGTTCATATTTGTATCTTTTCCATTTGTATCTGCAACAATCTCTAATATTCTAACCTCTTTCGCTGTTTCAGGTGATTGTTCCGATACCACAGAAGAGATGACCGTTGACAGCAGAGGTACGTACAATAAATAGAGCCCTGAAGATGCCAAATCCTTCTGCAAGTATACCAACCGACAGTTGTCCCTTATCCGCTATCCCCTAACCCCTCCATGCCCCCCACTTCGATGCCCTTTAACCCCGCTGTCCAGTGTTCAATCCGCGATAAGTTTAAGCTTAAACGAAATGGGCCAAAGCCAAAAAATAAATTCTTATCTGCTCGAATGCAGGGAAACAGACACTGTCTCCCTCCCTCCCTCACCCTCTCTCACCCTCTCTCTCTCTCTGCGACAGACATAACCCGTTAATGCCCCAATAATAAATTTCCCCGATGTGTAGACTCTCTCCTCCTCCTTCTGCATCGCTTTTCCCTGCTCTTCTGCGGGCTGCTGATATTTTGCCAATAAAAATTTAATCCCAAAAAAGATGAAGAGCAGAGAAAGCTCTCTAATTTAATACAACTTTTCTTTTTTTATCAGTGCAGTGCCACTGTGTACCTACCTCCCCTTTGCCATCCCCCTCCTCTGGTCTGCCCTCTCTGCGGTTTTTGGTGATTTTTGACACCTCAGCAGGACCTCATGGCAAAACCTCAGAAACCCTAAGCCTCCGAACGAACCCTTTACCAAAAATAGAAACGGAATCGCAGCCAAGGGGGGAGGGGGGAGCGTGCCACACACCACACACAACCCTCGTTTCAGTCACTTCGATGGACTGCAGGAAATGACAACGGGTCAAGTTCTCTCTCTCTCTCTCTCTCTCGTTGTGACTTTCCCTAGGACAGCCCTTAGCCTTTCACTCTGCCACCCTTCTCCTCGTACCCCCGGGGACATGTATTTTGACTTCACTCGTCTGGTGGCATGGTGGCATCATTGGCATCAATTTCATATCACTTCATAATCATCAGGCAATGTCAACGTCATTGAGACGACGACGACGATGTTTCCCATGAACCCGTGCCACCACCACCACCACCACCCTTGCCCCACCCCTCGGGCTGCTGCCTTTCGCCGCTTTCTCTGCCTTCTCTGCCTTCTCCGCCTGTTGTGCCTTCTGTTTGCTCTATTTTAAACAGGAGCGGACTGCGGGTGACTCTATTTCCGATAAGAATGCACATAAATATTTGCTATGGGCTGACATTCTCATGGAAATAGTTCTTCAGCGAGGATATCTTTTGATGTTTCCACCATAAGAGAGGTTTTCTTTTAAATCTATATCCTAGAAATATTAGTTTTTATCCGGTTCTTTCTTTGGGGCTGTAAAATTCTCTGATAGATTCCTAATTTGTTGACGAAAATTCTCTAAAACTTAAGTTTTCAGATTTTGTTGTGGTTTTATTTGAATTTTCGATTAAAATTCTTTGATAAATTCATTTATTGGCTTAAGTTCTCTGTAGATCGAATTTCATTGATTGTTTTAGTTTTCCTTGTGTCATCGGTTGATCAAAAAATAATTTGTTGGTCTCAGTTCTCCAGAGATTGCAACACAATTGTCAGTTTATTCTAGCCACTCTTGAGGGTCTTTAGATGAAATTTCTCTGTGAATTTCTACGTAAACATTGTACATCATTCTCTGACTCATTCGGAGGATCATTTATCATCCCATATGATCCCTTTTCTAACCCTCTCTTCGTTGTAAAACCGTTCCTGTTTGCCTTTTTTGATCTAACCTGCAACATTCCACACCATTTCGCTGCCATCTCAAGCATTCATCATTAATAATCCCCTCCGAAAACTGGCGGCAATTGGAGCGCCGCCTCGCTGTCCATCCTCCAGCAGCAGCCTCCCTCGCTCTATCGCAGCCCTTCCACGTGGCCCGTTTTTGTGCTGCGTCAGTGAAAGATATTCTACAGCAGCAGCAGCCACACACACACACTCTAACACCAGATAGTGGCAAGAGGGAAGAGGGGCAGGAGGCCAGAGAGTCGAGTGGCCAGTGGGCGTAACAGTTTGCCTAAAAAAGTGGGCGTTTGTCTGTTGGGCTAATCTTTATCTGGCTGTTGACACTCCATGGCGACGGCGACGGCCAAGCGAACCCGGGACCCAGGGACCCAGCGATAGATAGAGAATGAGAGAGAGAGAGAGAGAGCCAGAGAAAAAGTGTGGCACATTCCTTTGGGGCTCGACTCCAACCACCCACCCACCCACCGCACTCGCACTCCTCCTCCTGTATTTTGCCTCCTCTGGTTGTGCCACAGTTTGTGTCCAATAGATACTCGGGTTCTGTCTTACACTTGCATTTGTTTTCCTTCGTCCACAGATTGGAATTAACTTTTGTGGTAGTTGATCTTTGGTTTGGTTCCTGGTTTAGTTTATGGATACTGCTTTGTATCTGAAAGGATCATATTTTATTGCAGCTTCTGTAGAGTAATCCCTTCTTTTCTATAGCTTTGATGCTTGTACGAACCGCTTTTGGCCGAATTGCAATCCTAGAGATACGCAGAGTACTAGATACTTTTGACTTTGGAGTATCCTAATGTTGAAGCACGTGTGCCTCTACAAAAACTTTCCGTTGGATTTCGTCTTTGGGCTTGAGTTGATCATTATACTATCCTATCATCCCTAAAGGACTTAGAATGCCATATCTGTACAAAGTCTCACACTTAGAGGGTCATTTAATGAATGATTTCTTAGAGATACTTCGCTAATTTACATTCTCATAATGAAATCTTTGATAGAATTCCATCCAAAGTCCTTTAAGTTATAGCATTTTCAGTATTCCTGTATTTCCTTCTTTGTGTGGCTTATTTTTGGTGTAGTTTATGGCACTGGTGGATACTTAATCTGGTTATAAAAGTTTCTACTGCAATTGTATCTTTTTCTTGAAGGTTATTCCCCATTTCCCATTCTTTTGCCTTTGGTTCTACACTTCTGTGCCTTCTATTTCCTATTAGAGGCTGTATTTTCCATAGGCTTCTATGATTGATTGATCATGCTTTCATGGGTGCATCGTGCATCGAATTCTTGTAGATATTTGCCTCCCACTCTTTGCAGGGTATTCCATCTTCTTGATGTCTTTGGGGTCTGTTGCTTAGCCTCTGATGGTTTTTGTTTTTGTTTGTGGCTTGCTATTGATGGCACTCTTCTTGCCACTGATGATGATGCTGCTGCTGTTCCTGCAACACTTGCCACACTTGCCTCTACTGCTGTTGCTCCTGCCTCTTCCTCTGCTCCTGCCTCTGCTGATGATGATGATGACGTTGCTCATTTCTGGCGCTCTTCATTTGCTGTGGCTGCTGCCCCTCTTGTTGCTGTTGCTGTTATTGCTCTTCTTGCCACTGATGCTGCTGCTCCTGTGCAATGTACTGTAAGCGCCTCTCCCTGTGCGCCTGTCCCTGCCTCCAGTCGTATCTTTGTGTCTGTCTCTCTCCCTCTGTGTGTGTGTGTGTGTGTGTGTGTGTTGGGGGCTTTTATCTATGAAATTCATGAATGCTTTGGCTTATCTTGCAGAATTGCATACTTGCAGCTCGCCACAGAGCCCCCTCCTCTGGGCCTGGCTTTTTGGTTGGTTGCTCTGCTGCCTGCTGCCTGTTCCTCTTGTTGTTTGCCCCGCCCCGCCCCGCCCCCGTTTGTTGGCTGGCTTCTAATGGCGCTAAGTGGTGACCCCCTCTTCGCCACTTCTCCCATGGCATGTGTGTCTCTCTCTCTCTCTGTCTCTCTCTATGTCTTTCTCTGCTTCTCTAATGGCATTTTATCTATGGCATAATTTTTTATTATGTCTCCCTACTGCCTGCTGCTGCTGTTGCTGCTGCCCCTGTGCCCCTCCTGCTTTTGCCTGCCTGCCGTTGGCTTAATGACAATCCTCCACACAATCCCCGCAGAGAGAGAGAAGCCACAGAACCCCACCACACACAGCACCACACACGGCACACGGCACACACTCCGAGACATCGAGTCAAATTGTTAGATAGCTTTTCGGCATGTAATTAATCATTTGACAAGGTTCAAGCTCCCAGAGCTTTACGAAAGGGGGGCATTCAGAGGTGGGGGCAGGGAGGGGTATACAAAGGTGGGCTCGGGGATACCCTCAAACTTTTCTCTTTTTTACGAGCGGTTTTTGGGGGTCTTAATGCGGGAAACATTGCATTTGCTGCGGGCAGAAGGCTGAAGGCAAATGCAGCAACGAGGGAGGGGGGAGGGTGGGGGGACCATTACACGGCGCTCACGACGCGGCTGCGTTATCATCGGCGTTCAATCAACATGCCTCTTACCATTTCTGTTACCCCCGAGACCCGAAAGCTCTGTAGAGCTCTTTTTTTGCTAGAGAATATTACGCATACGCAGTGTTTGCCGTGGAGTTGGGGCAAATATAGTGGAAATGAAGAAAGATTAGAGATTACTATAAGTATGTACCATTTATATTGACAGAACCATTTACGGGATATGGGATATGGGATTTTCAGATGGGAAAATCCAGGAATCAAAGTCCAAGCTTCTTCCTTAAGAGAGAAAGACTCTTCAGCTCGTTCTTTCTCTTCTTTCAAAGACTCTAAAAGATCTCTGACTTCTTATTGGCAAAACGATCTCTCAATGGAGTCTCTGTGGAAACCAGCTTGAAACCATCTTTCCGAAGCTGAAAACCCAACCAAAAGTCGAGTCCACTCTTAAGCTAAACCCAATATAGACCCCAAGGAAGAGGTCATCCGTAGTGCTTCCAATCCTTGAGTCACATTTTGAAAATTTCGTATAAGAAAGTGCACCCTTTCCTCGGCCTCTGCCTCCGCCTCCGCCCCCGTCTCCGCCTGTGCCCCGTGTGTGTGCCACCACAAAGAATGATGATAAAGAGTCGTATAATGGTTGCTATATACATAAAAAAAATTACAACATAAATCACACACACACATACATACATTTACGAGGCACACACACCACACACACACATACACAAAGAAATTTTTGGTTGTGTTGTATTAAAAATAATATCGTCGTCTGGTCGACGAAAGATAAGAAAATTTATCCAAAGGATTGCGTTTTGGTGTTATGGCCACACAAACCACGACACGACACAAAAAGTGAGAGGACA